TTTCCGACGGATGCAGGGAGGAGGAGGAGGAGGAGGAGGAGGAGGAGGAGGAGGAGGAGGAGGAGGAGGAGGAGGAGGAGGAGGAGGAGGAGGAGGAGGAGGGGGGGGGGCTAACTAGCCAGTCTCGGGTCGAGCGAGGGGGCGCCTCACAAGTGCAGAACAAGCAGATGCCCACTCCCGCTCAGGCCAGCGAGCGTTCAGGGAGGACTCTCGGCGAGGGGCATCCTCGCGAGTTGGCCCCTCCAGACTCTCGCGCAACAGGGGGGGTTCGTCGTGACTCCGCGCAGGCTCAGGGAGCAGACGATTCCTCGACAGTGATCGAGTTCGCGGGGGCTTCATTCAGAGAGCAGCCTCGAATGAGCGATGCTCTGTTATTGGGCTTCGTCACCTTCTGCGTGGAGGGGGCAGCATGATGTGTGATTCGTTTGTTTGTGAATATACACTTCGTGGCAATTTTTGTTTGGATGGCTTCGACAGCCCAAGAGACGTCTGATGGTTCACGGGACCGTAGTGTTGAGGGTGCGTTTACGCGTCGTGACCCCTTCAGAAAATTACAATTTGATATAAGGTTCCGGGGAGTTGTCTGGCTCGAATTTGTTCAACCATCTTCATGTTGGACGAAAGCGCACGGTGGCGTCGCGTGGCAGTGGTAGCGACGTGGAGGTTTCAAACAGTCCTGACAAGATGGATTAATCGTGAGACATGGCCAGTCTCTATCTGTAATTTCTTTCATTACATGTTCATTCCCACGTTGGTCCGCGTCATTTTCCGGTGGCGACCTTGCGAAAAAAAGCTCCCCATGTGCAATCATCCTCCGAGCCTTCTGGGTTTGTTGTGATTCCGGCCGATCCCCATCGAACGTTATCATTTCTTGCTTGCAGGAGCTGATCGGCGACAAGTCTCTGGAGCACTTCCGCATGGAGCGCCCCGTCGGTCGGCGCATGCAGGGCTCGTGCACTTTCTGGTGCGAGGCAGGACGAGGTACAGCGGCAGCAAGTGCAGCATTCACGACTGTTACAGGAGGGAGGGGATGCAGGCGTGTTTCGAGGGGGGCTCGAGGTATACACCACGCCGCCGAGTCGGCCCAGGAGCTAGGGGATTTCGCAAGGGTCTCGGTGCATCAGCGCCCCTAACACCCCACATATTTTGAAGCTGCCAACCGGCTTGGGCGTCTATGCACCGAGCCCCTTGGCACCCCGACAACGTGGCGTATACAGTGGGGGCGCGCATCAAGACACCACATGCTTTTCGGAAGGGCATCCTGGGTTTCTTCGCTCCGCGAGCTGCGCCCGCGAGCTGCGCGGTGACTTCCCGCAGCCGTTGAAGAAGCTGCTGCGTTCACGGTGCTCTGGGTTTCCTCTCAGGTGGACCTCGCGCGCGGCTGTTCAGGGTTGGGTTTTTGTTTGCCAAGGGGTTCTTACGGTCGTCCCCGCACCGCAGTTCGAGCCCTTCTCAGTGCCTGCGTCGCTGATCGCACTCGCTCTCTCTCTCTCTCTCTCGCTCTCTCTCTCTCTCTCGCTCTCTCTCGCCTCCCGCTCTCTCGCTCTCCTGCTCTCTCTCTCTCTCTCTCTCGCTCTCTCGCTCCCTCCTGCTCCTCCTCCTCCTCCTCCTCCTCCTCCTCCTCGTGAATCGGAGGCTGGGAGGGGGGGGGAGTGAAAGCGGAGCGACCATAGGTTCTGAGGTCGTCGGGCTCGGCTCGTGCTGTTTTCGCGCGGGCGAGGCGCTGGTTACGGTCGGACAGGGGAGTAAGGCCGAGGTGTGGTTCGTCTTTGTCGGATGTTCTTGTGCATCCTGTGGAGGGACCCTTAGATGCTCTGTTGATCAGGCGATCGCAAACATGGATCAAGGGGGCGTGGACTAGCGATGGGCCCCGTTTCCACTGGGAATCGCGGATTTCCACCTCGGAACGAGGCGGCACCTACCGCATTTTGGGGAGGCCCCCCCCCGATCCATGGATTTGGCGACCGCGCGCCAAATCCATGGATCTGTTTGCACGCCCCCGAGTTTGGGCCGACGGAGGGTCTCATATTCTTGAGGGATGCTTTTCTGGCCCAGGTCCGACCTGTACCCGAGGGCGACGATGTGTCGGCGCAGCTAGAACCGACGTCGGACACCAAGTGTTGCGATGCGTCTGCCGCGCGTTTGACTGCGGGGTTCAGCAGCGTCCCCATTGCTAAGTTCTGCCCCGCAGCTTGGTTTTCCCCCAAAGGGGGGGTGCCGGCGGTGCAGACGCTGAACAGGTCGAGACGCACTAGTACGCGTTAAAGTGTAAGTTGTTGTGCATTCCGGCGCCACCTCTATTGTATTGCATCCTTGGCTCCTGCACGTAGAAGCACATCCGCTCTCACATTGCCCAGATGAGTAACCACCCACCAAACCACCCCAACCCAACCCGAAGGCCCAAATTTATCCTCGATTTCCAGTGGGGGGGGGGTCGGGGAACATTGAAAAAACACATGGAACCCGTACCCCCCCCAACCCGAAATTCGATTCAAATTCGGGTCTTCGGGTTGGGTTGGGGTGGTCTGGTGGGTAGTCAATGAGCGACGAAGGGAAAACGGCCTCAGCTGCGCGAGCCTTCGCGCAGAAGTCTCCCGCGCAGGGCCGCGCGTGAGCGCTCTCTCTTTTCCACGCGGTGTGCTGCGCCGGCGGCCCGCGTAAGTTGCGGCGTGAGGTCGACATGCCATCTTGCGCACGACCTGTTTCGTGTCGTCGCGCATTTGTAATTCGCGTTACAGTCGGGGCGCTGCAGAAGGAACCCTTTTCGTTGGGGAGGGGCTCGGTGTTCCTTGAATGTTATGCAGTTTGCCTTCGGTTTTCCTGAGGTTTCCCACTTGAAATCCACATGTAACCTGTGGGCAAAAGGGGCCTGGTTCCTTATTTCTCGTTCCTCAGGTCAGCGCCCCGACGGTAACTTAGGGTTGCGCATCCTTGCCAGGAGTACGAAAAGCTGCACCGTGCGCTGAAGAAGTCGCACGAGAGCGAGAAGCGCCTCATAAAGAAGTGCCGGGAGCTGAACGCCGAGATCGTGTCCAACGCCAACAAGGTGTCATCTTCGTTGCATAAGCGGATTTCGACCATCCTATTGTTCGACAATCGTGTTTTCTTCTTCAGAGTTCGGTGCTCCCGGTCCCTGATTCAGTATTTGAGGCCCCAGACTACAGGTGATCCCTAAACTACAGGTGCTACCCCTCTGCCTGGACTGCCTCACCGCCCGGCTGGCCTGGCCTGAAGGACCTTTGCTCCCAGACTAGAGAATGCCGCCCCCTGCCTGGACTACAGGCACCCCCACCTGGTCTTAAGTCGGGCACGCCCCTCTACAGGAGAAACATTCAAACATCGTCGGAACATAGTGTGGGGACGTTTTTTTTTTTTTGTTTTTCTAATATATATATATATATATGTATATATATATATATATGTAAGACCATGTTTGCGCATTAGTTTTTATTTCCATGTTTTCAGAACTTGTCGTTCAACATCCGCCTGCAGGGGGGCACGCCCGACCTAAACCTGACCTACAGCTGCTCCACAGGTGGTCCCCGCCCGTGCGGCTGGCCGCCCCCCCCCCCCTGCTCACGACAGGTCTCGCACCTGCCTCCCAGACTACAGGCACCCCCCCCTCCCCAGGGCTCGTTTCGATTCCTCCGGTTCGATTCGCTTCTTCTTCGGTGACTTCCGATCCCGATTCGATTCGACTTCGGATTCCGATTTGGGGCTCCGATTCCTCACTGGAGGCCCGTTAGCCTGCCGATGCCTGTCGATTCGACTTCTCCCGACTCGGCTGCCGGTCCCCTCCGATCCGATTCGCTTCGATCGCCGATCCGACTCATCGATTCGATTCTGGGCTCTCCCGCCCTCCCCGCAGACTGTACACCTCTCCCCCCAGACGGCATGTCCCCTCCCCGGACTGCAGGCGCTCCTCCCCTGGGACCAGCGGTGCCCCCAAGACAACCGACGGCGCAGACGGCGACTCACCGCCTTGGACACGCTTGTGTGGGGGGAAATGTCGAGCGACTTTGCAGCCATGCTAGTGGAATGCACGTTCCCCCCGCGGTATGGGCATCCACTCGGTCAACAGTGGGGAAGGGGCCTTTTGCGATCATCGTCGGGACCTCTTCGGGCCACTCTGGGGCTATCTTGGGCCGTCTCGGGTTGACATCGTCGGGCCGCCTGGCGCCTGCGGAGACCGTCCTGGCGGGCTCCTCTGGACCGTGTTGGAGACCTCCTGGGGCTCTTGAGGACCATCTTGGAACTATCTTACGTCGTCTTTGGTCTTTGGGCCATTCTGGACTTCTTGGGGCCCTCTTGGGAGCCTCTTTGCTCGATCTGGGGAGCTTTGGTGCCCCGTCTTGGGGCGACCTTGGGGGCCTCTTCGGCCGTCCTGGGCTGTCATAAGCTCGACTCGGCGAGGACGTGAGAACCGGTGCAATCAACACGGGCGTAAATGATTTCAGCCTCCTGGAGGTTCTCTTGGAACTCTTGCGGAGTCATGGGAGCCGATTGGACCGTCTTGAGGCCATCTTGGGCTGTCTTGGGTCCATCTTGGGCCGTCTTGGAGGCATGTTGGGGTCATCTTGGGCTCTCTTGGGGCAATCTTGGGGCGTTATGTTCTGTCCTTTTGGGTTGTATTTGACGTCATCTTCGGTGCCCCTTGGGCATCCAATGTGAGTCTTACGGGGCGCTCCGATGGTGGGGAGCGCATAATGCCTGCATGCCCGCAACCGTATGGGCTGAAGGCGGCGCAGCCCCCCTTTGCCTGTGCCGTCCGCCAACGCTGCACTGCAAGCGGCGGTGGCGACGCTCTGTCATTACTCGTTGGGCAGGCTCTTGCCAGACAGAGCCCCACACTTTCGTGGGTGGCTACCGTCCCGGAGCTCCTCGGCTGTTGAGAGAGGTTCGTTGGTGGAAGAGAGGGGGGGATGACTAGGGGGGGGGTGGATTTCATGGCGCGGGCCATGATGTTTCCTCAGATTTCATGGCGCCTGTTCGGGGGCGGAAAGGAGGAGGGTTAAGACTAGGGGGGGGGGGGATATCATGGCGGGGGCCATGGTATTCCCCCAGATTTCATGGCGCCTCTTCTTACTTCATTACGTCCCAGGCCTCACGCTGGGCCGCGCACGTGCCGCCGGTCAGGATTTGCACCCCTCCCTCTTGGACACCCCCCTCTTGGCCGCTCCCGAGAGATCGCCGTGGAGGCGGCCGCCTCGGAGCGGGGGCCCCAGGCCCGAGGGCCCGGGGCCTCTCGGGCGGGTGGCGCAGCTCGCGCCGGAGCTCGTCGCCGTTCTCGCCGCGGCCCCCGAAGATCCATCCCCCTCCTCCTGCTCCTCCTCCTCCTCCTCCTGCTCCTCCCCCTCCTCCTCCTCGTCCTCCCCCTCCTCCTCGTCCTCCTCCTCCTCCTCCTCCTGCTCCTCCCCCTCCTCCTCGTCCTCCTCCTCCTGCTCCTCCCCCTCCTCCTGCTCCTCCTCCTCCTGCTCCTCCTCCTCCTGCTCCTGCTCCTCCTCCTCCTCGGCAGGCAGGGCTCTCCGCAGGTGTGTTGGCGATGCCGGCAGTGCTGGGCTGAAGGGGCCGCTCGAGAGCCTGTGCGAGTCACCCAGAATAAAGTCGGGCCTGGCCCTCTACAGGAGGAGTATTCAAAGCTAGTAAAACATCTGTCTGGGGACGTTTTTTGTCAATCGTTTTTTGGGGCTATGCGTGAGCATTTTTTGAACAGTGTTTGAATACTTATTGTTTGTCGTCCAAAATCCGCCTGTACGAGGACCTGCCCGACCTAAGCCGCCCAGGGCTCTGCCCTCCAGTGGGTCGACGTGCTGCCGTCGGCCCCACCCTGGTCCCCCCTGGTGCCGCCGCCCTTTGCCGACCCCCTCGCCTCTGTCGTCGTCGCTCCTGTGGCCCCCTTCCTCGCCCCGGTGGCCCTCCCTCGCTGCCTTGCGCTCACCCTCCCCAGACATCTTCTGGAGGGAAAAAAACACACAGACACAATTAATCGTTGATTCCCCAGAAAATATGGGAAAATATGGGAAGTGGGGGGGAAGACAAAAACCCAGAAAATATGGGAAAATATGGGGAATATTTTTTTATTTGTGTGTATTTATTAGTGTGTCCCAGTTTCCCTTCACATCTGGCGGCTCGAACAAAATCCAGACAGAGGTTTTTCCTCGTGTTCGACCTCTCGGGGCCACTGCTGGGCCTCGGGGCCGTCAAAAAACGACTCGGGAAGAAAGGGTCCCGGGGAAGTGGTCGAGAGGTCGGGGGCCCGCGCCTCGAAGCAGTCGAGGCCGGACGCCCTCGCTGCCTGCCCAGACCTCCTGGCATTGAAGAAATCACGGCAGGAGGTTTTTTTTTTATATATTTTCGGCCTCCGGGGGCCCTTCCCAGGCCTCGGGACCGTGAACACGACGACTTAGGCTGAAAAGCTGGTCCTGGGGAGAGGGTCCAGACCTCCGGGGGTCGACGTCGTAGAAAAGGCACGACGCCGGGGGTCTGGACCCTTTCCCCAGGACCAGCCTCGGCTGCCTCGCCCCACCGCCCGCCTCGGCGACGCGGTACCCCAGAAGCGCGCCAGGCCACGACAGCGAGGAATCTGCGCCGCTTTCTCTTGGCACCGCTCGGGCGCGCGCAGTCTCTTCTCGGCGATGGCCACCGCGGGGCATCTTTGGGATCATCGTGCGAGAATATGAAAACGACGCGAAGATCGGGACAAAATCGGATCGGGATAACTCGAAATCTCTGAGAATCGGCGGGTTTGGAGGATGTATTGGGCGCCGCGGCCGCTCCAGAGCGTTCCCGAACGCTCTGAGAGCGCTCCGGAACGCTCTGGAGCGATTTATCCCGATCCTAGCCCTGTTTTGAATATAACACGAGACTGAACATTTGCACTGGGAGTGGCCGTCCGAGCGACGAGCGATGGCCCGCCACAGCCCGGGCTGGTCGTGCCGCACGTCTGCTCACCGCCCACCAAGCCACCCCAACCCAACCCGAAGGCCCCGATTTTGCTCTCCATTTCCAGTTGTGGGGTTCGATGCCCCCCTCTTCCTCCTCGTCCTCCTCCTCCTGCTCATCGTCGTCTCACTCCCCCTCCTCCTCCTCCTCCTCGTCTTCTTCCTCCTCCTCTTTCCCTGGTCTGCCGTGGTCGTGGTGTGCCCAACTGGGGCGCGTTGTGGCCGATACCTTCGTTGCCACATGACACGAGGGGCAACGATACAATCAACACGAAACATTTGATAACACACGCTTGAAGCCCATACCCCCCAACCCGAAATTCGGGTCTTCGGGTTGGGCTGGGGTGGTCTGGTAGGTGGTCATCTGCCCCCCGCGGCCGCGAGGTGCAGATGGCCCTCAATCTGTCCAAGGAGGACCAGTCCACGATCCAGAACCTCAAGAGGGAGATTGAGCGCGCCTGGAAGATGGTCGAGGCTGCCCCGCTCAGCCGCAGGCGCAGCAATTCGACGGGCGCCGAGGTGGCCCCAAGAGCGTGGTCGGCTCCGAGCTGGATGGATCCTGTGATGGGGAGGCAGTGGAGGCAACCCATACTCCTTCCATCCCAGGGCTAGCCAGCTACTGTGCAAGCGAAGTGTACCACAGCGAGCCTTCAGATTGGTAGATACACAGCACAAGCAGTGTGGACAACGCGGTCACTGGCTTACAGAGCGTTGCCACTAAGTGGACTTCTTGGCAACACTCCGGTGTGGGGGGAGTTTCGTTAAGGTCGGTGTTGCCAGTTGCCGCCTACATTTCTTCCCAGACGGAAATGGCGTCGGGCAGACATTCGGGACGCGGTCGATTTGCGAAGGACGCTCCCGCTTGCACAGCGCCCTGGACGACTCAGAGCCGACTCGCACATAAATTTCTGCATTGCGAGATCGTAGCGAGATTTAGGAAGGGAGACGTTCAGCGCACGCATTTCGACATGAATTCCAATTCAGAAAGCGCTTTGTCGAGTTCCCACGACGCCACGGCTTCCTCGACAGATTCGGATCATTCCGAGAGCCTTCCCGGTTTGCAGGTGTTCTCCGTACGGCTTCGTTCACCGCCTATGCTCGTTCACATGGTTTTATTCCCCAGGCAGTGCTTGCACTTAGGGGTTCTTACTTGGCTTAACCATCTCGGGGTGAATAGCGGCACTTGCGGGCGATGCCGCCCGTCGCCGCCGTCGCCGTCGCCGCCGTTCGGGGCGAGCGGCGGCTTCTGCGGGCGGGGCTGCCCGTCGCCGCCGTCGTCGTCGCATATTTTCTTCTTTCTAAAAGACTGATAGATTCTACCCCCCCCCCCGGACTTATCGGTTCCCCCGCGCGTGCTGTAAATCATATATGATTCTGACCACATGTCCATCCTAAATATGAATTCATACCATCCCAGCCAAGCCGGGTTCCCCCCCCCTGCGGTTCCCTGTCAAATAACACTATGCGGGGACATTTTTCTTTCTAACATAACACTTTTTCGCGAATCCCTTGCAAAAAACGGGACGAAGTGCACACGCGCGCGTCGTCGCGCGCGCATGCCGAAATCCTTCAAAAACCTGCGGTGCCGGAAGGATTTCGCAATCGAGTTTCCGAAAAACATACAAAAACACATGGTTTCGCAACACTGGTTTGCTAAAAAAACTTCCGCGCGAGGTCTTGCGAAATCTTCAGAAAACCATAGGTTTTTTCAAGATGTTCACAAAATGTTACCAAACGGGCTTCGCGCGCGCGCATGTCGAAATCTGTCGAACGCCCTTGCGCGTGTGCCGTCGCGAGAATCCTCTGCAAAAAATTGGACGAAGTGCAGACGCGCGCGTCGTCGCGGACGTATGCCGAAAACCTTCGAAACCCATCGGTTTCGGAAGGATTTCAAAATCGTGCGTCCAAAAAACCTACAAGAACCCAAGGTTTCGCAACACGGATTTTCAACAAAAGCGTGCGCGCGCGCTCTTGCGTCGTCGTCGTCGTCGTCGCCGTCCTCCCTCCTCCCGCGTCGTCGTCGTCGTCGCCTACGTCGTCCTCTGTCTTTTCTCCTGTTTGTCGTCGTCGTCCTCTTTGGCGTCGTGGTCGTTTCCATCGTCGTTGTCGCCGTGGTCGTCCTTCCTCCTCCTCCCACGTCGTCGTCGTCGTCCGTCGTCGGCGTCTCATCGTCGTCCCTCCTATGTCGTCGCCGTCGTCGTCGTCGTTGTCGTCGTCGTCTTCCCTCCTCCCTCGTCGTTGTCGTCGTCGGCGTCGCCGTCCTTCCTCCTTCGTCGTCGTTCGCGTCGTCACCGTCCTCCCTCCTCCTTCGTCGTTGTCGTCGTTGTCGCCGTCGTCGTCCTTCCTCCTTCCTCGTCGTCGCCTTCGTTGGCGTCGTCGTCGTCGTCGGCGTCGGCGTCGGCGTCGGCGTCGCTGTCGTCGTCGAAGTCGTCGGAGACGTCGTCGGTGTCGTCCTAGTCGTTGTCGTCGGTGTCGTCGTAGTTGGTCTTAACAGGTTTTGCAAACCAAGTTGCGGGTGGGTGGGTGGGATGTTTGCGCGAGCAGTGGAGAAGACAATTTCAAGTTCAGCAAATTAATTCTCCTTTCTGAAAGACTAATATATTCTACCCCCCCCGGACTTATCGGGACCCCCGCGCATGCTGTAAATTCTTTACGCTTCGCGTATCCCCACCAGCCCATCTCACAGCAGCAATTCCCGCGAAGCATGCCGACAGTCGTGTTTTTCAGGCGTGTGTCCGCTTGGCCCCGCATATCTCCCCTGTTCCTCCTTCCTCCCGCCTCCTTGTACATCCTCCTTGTGAGGGGAGCGGGAGAAGGACGAGGCGGAGGAGGAGGGAGAGAAAGCGCTCCTCGTGTTTGAGTCGTTGGGGTTTCTCGTCCTGGTGTGAGTCGTTCGGGCCCTTCTTCCTGGTGTGAGTCGTTCGGGCTCTTCGTGGTGTGAGTCGTTCGGGCTCTTCGTCCTGGTGTGAGTCGTTCGGGCTTCTCGTGGTGTGAGTTGTTCGGGCCCCTCATCCTGGTGTGAGTCGTTCGGGCCCCTCCTCCTGGTGTGACTCGTTCGGGCTCCTCGTGGTGTGAGTCGTTCGGGGCCCGCGTCGTGGTGTGAGTCGTTCGGGCTCCTCGTGGTGTGAGTCGTTCGGGCGCCTCGTCCTGGTGTGAGTCGTTCGGGCCCCTCCTTGTGGTGTGAGTCGTTCGGGCTCTTCGTGGTGTGAGTCGTTCGGGCCCCTCGTCCTGGTGTGAGCTTCTTGGTGCCTCGGGCTCCTCTTGGGGTGGGGCCTCTTGGGGCCTCTTGGGGGCCTCTTGGGGGCCTCTTGGGGCCTTGGGGGCCTCTTGGGGCCTCTTGGGGGCCTCTGGGGGGCCTCTTGGAGGCCTCTTGGGAGCCTCCTGGGGGCCTCTTGGGGCCATCTTGGGGCCTCTTGCGACCTCCTCAGAAGCGCAAATGAGCGCTGCCCCTGAGAAGGACAAAATGAGCCCAAAACCTTGTAAAATCAATGATTTTGCTAGAAGGAAGAGGAGCGCGCCCCCGCAGAAGGCCAAAATGGGGCCAAAACCATCGTAAATCAATGTTTTTTGCTTCAAAGACGGTCTGAGGCGCCAAACTCCCCCCCCCCCCCTCGGGGCCAGAATCCTCGTGAGGGTCGTCGTTTTTTGGCCCTCCCAGGAGTCGAAAAGACCCCCTTGACACCACTCGGAACTCCCTCTCCAGGTCCAGGGGGAGGGGGTAGGGGGAGGGGTAAACCCCTCCCCGAAGGGGAAGATGGGGGGTTGAGAACAGAGAGAGCTCTCTAAACCACTCACGCCCAAAGGGCTGGTGGGATTACCTATGATTCTGACCACATGTCCATCCTAAATATGAATTCGTACCATCCCAGCCAAGCCGGGTCCCCCCCCCCTGCGCCTCCCTTGTAAAAAACACTATGCGGTGATTTTTTGGTTCTAATATAACACTTTTTCACGAATCCCTTGCAAAAAATGAGACGAAGTGCACACGCGCGCGTCGTCGCGCGCGCATGCCGAAATCCTTCAAAAACCTTCGGTGCCGGAAGGATTTCGCAATCGAGTTTCCAAAGAACATACAAAAACTTTTGGTTTCGCAACACTGATTTGCTAAAAAACTTCCGCGCGAGGTCTTGCGAAATCTTGAGAAAACCATAGGTTTTCCAAGATTTTCACAAAATGCTACCAAACGGGCTTCGCGCGCGCGCATGTCGAAATCTGTCGAACGCCCTTGCGCGTGTGCCGTCGCGAGAATCCTCTGCAAAAAATGAGACGAAGTGCAGACGCGCGCGTCGTCGCGGGCGTATGCCGAAATCCTTCAAAAACCATCGGTTTCGGAAGGATTTCAAAATCGTGCGTCCAAAAAACCTACAAAAACCCAAGGTTTCGCAACACGGATTTTCAACAAAAGCGTGCGCGCGCGCTCTTGCGTCGTCGTCGTCGTCGCGTCGTCCTCCCTCCTCCCTCGTAGTCGTCGTCGTCGTTCGTCCCGTCGTGTCTTCTGTCTTTCCTTGTCGTCGTGTCGTCGTCGTCTTGGCGTCGTCGTCGTTTCCGTCGTCGTTGTCGCCGTGGTCGTCCTTCCTCCCTCGTTGTCTTCGTCGGCGTCTCGTCGTTGTCCCTCCTATTTCGTCGCCGTCGTCGTCGTCGTCGTCGTCGTGGTCTTCACTCCTCCCTCGTCGTTATCCTCCTCCCTCGTCGTCGTCGTCCGTCGTCGGCGTCTCGTCGTCGTCCTTTCATTTCGTCGCCGTCGTCGTCGTCTTCGTCGTCGTTGTCATCGTCGTCGTCTTCCCTCCTCCCTCGTCGTTGTCGTCGTCGGCGTCGCCGTCCTTCCTCCTTCTTCGTCGTTGGTGTCGTCGCCGTCTTCCCTCCTCCATCGTCGTTGTCGTCGTTGTCGCCGTCGTCGTTTTTTCTCCTCCCTCGTCGTCGTCTCCGTTGGCGAGTCGTCGTCGTCTTCGTCGTCGGCGTCGTTGTCGTCGTCGTCGGTGTCGTCGTCGTCGTTGTCGCCGTCGAAAACATTGGAGACGTCGTCGGTGTCGTCGCAGTCGCTGTCGTTGGCGCCGTCGTCGTCGATGTCGCTGTCGTCGTCGGCATCGGTGTCGTGGCCAAGTGCCATGTGGTACCTACCGTCACGGTCTTGTCTGAAGAGGTCTTGCGACCAAGTTGCGGGTGGGAGGGTGGGATGTTTGCACGAGCAGTGGAGAGGACAGCTTCAAGACGGTCAAGATTAATTGCACCACGTGGTTCTCTTTTCTAAAAGACTAATAGATTCTACCCCCCCCCCCCCCCGGACTTATCGGTTCCCCCGCGCGTGCTGTAAATCATAAATGATTCTGACCACATGTCCATCCTAAATATGAATTCATACCATCCCAGCCAAGCCGGGTTCCCCCCCCCTGCGGTTCCCTGTCAAATAACACTATGCGGTGACATGTTTCTTTCTAACATAACAAATTGTTTCACGAATCCCTTGCAACAAATGAGACGAAGTGCACGCGCGCGTCGTCGCGCGCGCATGCCGAAATCCTTCAAAAACCTTCGGTGCCGGAAGGATGTCGCAATCGAGTTTCCGAAAAACATACAAAAACTTTTGGTTTCGCAACACTGGTTTGCTAAAAAAACTTCCGCGCGAGCTCTTGCGAAATCTTGAGAAAACCATAGGTTTTGTTCCAAGATTTTCACAACATGCTGCCAAACGGGCTTCGCGCGCGCGCATGTTGAAATCTGTCGAACGCCCTTGCGCGTGTGCCGTCGCGAGAATCCTCTGCAAAAAATGAGACGAAGTGCAGACGCGCGCGTCGTCGCGGACGTATGCCGAAAACCTTCGAAACCCATCGGTTTCGGAAGGATTTCAAAATCGTGCGTCCAAAAAACCTACAAGAACCCAAGGTTTCGCAACACGGATTTTCAACAAAAGCGTGCGCGCGCGCTCTTGCGTCGTCGTCGTCGTCGTCGCCGTCCTCCCTCCTCCCGCGTCGTCGTCGTCGTCGCCTACGTCGTCCTCTGTCTTTTCTCCTGTTTGTCGTCGTCGTCCTCTTTGGCGTCGTGGTCGTTTCCATCGTCGTTGTCGCCGTGGTCGTCCTTCCTCCTCCTCCCACGTCGTCGTCGTCGTCCGTCGTCGGCGTCTCATCGTCGTCCCTCCTATGTCGTCGCCGTCGTCGTCGTCGTTGTCGTCGTCGTCTTCCCTCCTCCCTCGTCGTTGTCGTCGTCGGCGTCGCCGTCCTTCCTCCTTCGTCGTCGTTCGCGTCGTCACCGTCCTCCCTCCTCCTTCGTCGTTGTCGTCGTTGTCGCCGTCGTCGTCCTTCCTCCTTCCTCGTCGTCGCCTTCGTTGGCGTCGTCGTCGTCGTCTTCGTCGTCGTCGGCGTCGGCGTCGTTGTCGTCGTCGAAGTCGTCGGAGACGTCGTCGGTGTCGTCCTAGTCGTTGTCGTCGGTGTCGTCGTAGTCGGTCTTAACAGGTTTTGCAAACCAAGTTGCGGGTGGGTGGGTGGGATGTTTGCGCGAGCAGTGGAGAAGACAACTTCAAGTTCAGCAAATTAATTGCACCACATAGACTGCACCGCATAGACAGCACCGCATAGACTAGATTGCATAGGTTGCACCGCGTAGATTGCACCACATATATTGCACCACGCATATTGCGCCGCATAGACTGCACCACATCTATTTTACCACATAGAGCATACTGCATAGACTGCAACGCATAGGTTTTTTACCACGTAGATTGCACCACATAGCTTACGCCACATAGGTCGCACCGTACATATTGCATTACATCGGTCGCATCGTGTAGATTGCATCACATATATTGCACAGCATCGATTGCACCGCATATATTGCATTACATGGTTGCATCACGTAAATTGTACCACGTAGATTGCACCGCATAGAGTGCATTGCATTAGGTTGCACTGCGTAGGTTGCACCACATAGACGGCATATATTGCACCGCGTTGATTGCATTGCACCGCGTAGATGCACCACATATATTGCATCATATAGATTGCAGCACATTGGTTGCATCGCATACTTTGCACCACATAGGTTGCACCGCGTAGACTGCAATCATCTACTGTTTGAGGTCCACGCTTGCTAACGTATATGTATATGTATATGTATACGTAACTGTATGTATGTGTATCTCTCTCTCTCTCTCTCTTTCTGTCTCTCTCTCTCTCTCTTTCTTCCCCTCGCTGTTTGTCAGCGTTGTTTTCTCGATTGCCGTTCCTTTATCTTACATGTCCACACGCTCCTTGGCTTAACTGACCCAGGCCGCCTTTGCTGTCAATCGCCGTTCGACTAGCAGAGCCATGCGGTTGGTTCGATTGGCAGCTCGAGAAGCAACGCGCCGTCTTCGGATCCCCTCAATGCCGTGCACCTTGAGGTGGCGGGCTTCGCCCGACACGCGGGCATGCTAAACACTTTGGTGTGCCATCTTGTTGTGCTGCGACCAGCGCGCAGTTTGCCTGCAGCTTTCGTGAAGGGCGCCGTTGTGATGTGCCCCGTTGCTCACATATGCCCTCCGCCCCGCCGCCCCCGTCTACAAGCCGTGGTTCACTCTCATTCGGTGGCAAACTATGGGAGCCTGGTATACCCTCTCAATTCCGTCTTTAGCGTCGACTAGCGTTGATTCGCGTCTGCAGTCGATGCAATGGCGCCGATTTAGCGCCGACTAGCGTCGACTTGGCGTCGACTAGCGTCGATTTAGAGTCGACTAGCGTCGAGTCGCAGGAGCCCACAATATGGTACGGGAGGCTCCCATGAGTTGCCGCCGAAGGTGTCTGCTGTGAAGCAATCGGGCGGCTTGAGCCCAAAGGTGAATCGTTGTCATCTAGAGGATGCGACTCTCGACATATGATGAGGGCATGTCTCACCATGCTTTGTCATGGTAAGTTTTTGCATTCGCCGGAGAGGCTTCGCACGAGAAGGAGCAGAGGGCGAAGGAAACGATCCATAACCTGAAGGTGCGGGGACGCCGAGCGGGGAGCGTTGCCTTTGTATGCGCTGCGTCACGTAGCCGTTGTCAAACTCGGCCCCCCGTGGGTGGGTGTGAGGTGTTCGACCCCGTTGCGCAGGGAAGACGCACGTTACGTGCCTACTCGTCGGTTCGACCCGAGATGATGGTTCCCATTGATTCCGTACTCCTGTCTCGGTCGATGCGTGTTCGTCTGGCGCTGCGTTGGACCCGCTGCATGCCATCCCCAATGGATTTTGCGCTGTCCTCGGTGGTCTATCTTGGAGACTCGGTGCAGCGGGCGAGCAGGCCAGGGAAGGAACACGGGAAGAAGGAGGCACGGGAGTGAGAGGCCCTCCATGATGTCGCATATCCAGTGCCAGTTCACAAGCTCGGTCTTGTTGCCGGGGCCCTGCCCACAGCAGACCGATCCCAGAAATCCACATGGGCCTCCCACAGTTGACGTTGACACCGTCTGTCGTGTTCTTTTTCTGTCCCACTTCCTCGCACCTTCCCACTCTCTGCCTGCCCACCTCGCCGCCGCCGCCTCCTCCCACCTTGACGACGGACGCTCAATCCATACGCATGCTGCTGCTCCCCACTCCGGTCGGGCGAAGAGAACTGTTCTTAAGTCGGGCCTGTCCCTCTACAGGACGAATATTCCAAAATATATAAAAGATAGTCTGGGCACAATGTCTTGGAGTATTTTTGACCATTTTGGAGGATGTCCTGACAATTTTTTATTTTTCGTCCAAAATCGCCTTGTAGGAGGACAGGCCCGACTTTAAACTGTGCACGTGCACCGATCCTGGCCAGGCCCATCCTTGGCCCAGGATCGGTTCATATGCCTTCCTGGCCAAGGCAGGGGGGCGTATGCACCGATCCTAGGCTCAGGATGGACCTGACCAAAATCGGTGTACGGTAGGTTTATGTCGTCAGCGGCAACCCCGACAGCGGCATTCAATTTTGAACGCCGCGGGCGTCCCAGAATCGTTCAATGTGGAACGATTTGGACGTTTCGGAAACGACCAATCGTTCAAGGTTGAACGATCCCCGCGGTGTCAGCAACCAACGCCGAAGTCAGCACGACACGAACCTGACGTGAGCCGATTCGTTGACGCACCCATCTGGAGGCGACCGTAGGCTTACGTCGGGCCTGCCCCTTTACAGGAGGAGTACACAAGAATAGTCAGGAACTAGTGGGGGGACACAGTTTCGAGCACGTTTTCCCAGTTTTTTGTTGGCGAATTCTTGTTTCTGTATCTGGGCGCCAGGGCAAGCCAGTCCTGGATTTTCCCAGTTTTGAATTTTTGTTGGCGAATTCTTGTTTCTGTATCTGGGCGCCAGGGCAGGCCGGGCCTGGAGCAGAGACGCGGCCCCGCAGGCGGTGAGTTTTTGGCCCTGCCCCAGCGCCGGCTCCTCGTGGGGGCGGGGCGTTTTGCAGACAGACAGACAGACAGACAGACAGACAGAGGAGCCAAACGCCGTCCGGCGCGTAGGCAGAGGGCGTTTTGCAGAGGCATGCGTAAAATAGTAAGTCGGGCATGTTCTTCTACAGGAGGAATGTGCAAAGATGCGCCAACAAATATATAAGAGGATTATCCGAAGATGCGTCAAAGGTTCTGCCATATTCTTCTACAGGAGGAATAGTCAAAGGAACGTCAAAGATTCTTCTACAGGAGGAGTATTCAAAGATACGTCAAAGAGTGCTCGACAAGTATCTTTGACTCTTTTTGAGTATTTGTGTTGACTATGTTGCACTTGTCGTGTAGGAGGACGCGCCCGACCTGGACAAAACAGCGATCGCACTCCCCCCCCCCCCCCGCGCGCCCTTCGAGCTGGAGATCAACAACCTCAGCCACCTCGTCGAGCAGGGCGCGGGCCTCTCCGTGAACCAGGAGCGCCCCGCCGCCCTCCGCCCCCACCCTGGCGCGGCCCTCCGATTTCAAGCAGTGGCGAAGCGTCCCGCTCGCCTATAGCCCCACAAAACAATGTTCTAAGAACTTTTTGTGGTTCCCACGAAAAGTTCTTAGAACATTTCTGGCTGGGACGGTCTTGTTTTAACACATCGGGGTTATGTTCTAAGAACATTGTTGTTGTTCTTGGAACATTTTTGGGTTCTAAGAACTCATCGTGGTATGACTATAGGAATGCCGGGACGGTCGGTCCCTGCTCAACGATTCTCTCGCCGTGGGCATCGGTGCACCTTCCAGAGGGCCGACAGGTGGACCCAGGCATCTCAGGGCTGACCCACTGTCTCACACGCCGAGGACATCCCAAGCGTCCAGCGAGCTCCAGAGCGTCCAGGAGGTTTCGCCAGGGAGAGAGCCGCGGGCGGAGGAGGACTTTCCGAGAGTCGGGGCTGATGGAGCGTCTGGGGAGGATCCGCACGTCGGACCTTTTCCGGAGGAGCTGGAGAACAGCGCCCGCGGGGCTTGAAAGACGCACTCCCTTAGACCCCCCGTCGTCGGGATGTTTCTCGCAGCGTCGGCCCCCAAGAGGCCTGGACCCCTTTCCCCAGGACCCGTTGCTCCTCCTGAGTCGTTTTGTGACCGTCCCTGGGCCAGGTAAGGGTTCCCGGAGGCCGAAAATAGCGAAACATTTGTCGTCAACGCTCGTCGCTCGTCGCTCGTCGCGTCGTGCGCGCGGGCGCGGCAGTGGTGCTGGAACCACACGGCGGGGGGGGGGGGCGGGGGGGCGTTACGTCATACCCCCCTCGCCCCCCCCCCCCATGACGCCCGTCATCGCCGAGCATAAAGAAACGCTCTCTAGGTCCAGTGTCGAAGCGCATGGGCGCTCTTGCCGCACTCCAGGGCCGCGCCCCGAGGGCTGGCAGGCGGATCCAGTCCCCATCAGGGCGGATCACAGGCACAGCCCGGAAGGTCAGAGGGGCCCCGTCGATGGCCCATGGCCTTGGCATCGCTCGCACGTGCGCATGGTGGGCCGATTGTCCACCGCCACTACCATAGGTAGGGCGGGGGAGATGGAAGGATGGGGAGGTCTTCCTCCTTCCTTTCTCCTCCCTCCTCCTCCTCCGTCCCCTCCTCCTCCTCTGTTTCCTCCTCCTCCACCTCCTCCTCCTCCTCCTCCTCCTCCCTCCCCAACCTAACCTCATCAAGCCATCAAGGACCCCCCCGGGGTTATCATTAGCACCGCACCGTAATTCAATAATTCTCGGGGCGGTTTTCGCCGAGCGATCTGATTAGCACCGCGCAAATGGAACGAAACTACATAGTTCCCGCGCCCCGGCTCGTGTGACATCCCAATTGGGATAGGAACAATAAAAAAAGAGAGAATAATCATAGTAATGATTTTGTAGTGGCCTCTGGCCAGTGCCGCCGATCCGGGGCGCTCCTGATGCTATTGTTGTTGAAATGGACGATGACGACGACAACGGACGACCAACGGTCCACGAGCGGGACAATTACGACGACGACCGACGAAGGAGTCAATGACGACGAACCGACGACGACGACGACGACGACGACGACGACGACGACGACGACGACTGACGGCGAACGGCTGCCGACGGCCGACGACCGACGACTGGTGAGGGCGACGGGTGGAAGGTTCTTCGTTCATCGCTTTCGCTTCCGAGCAATACCAAGTCAGGCCGTGCACCTCTGGCCTGGCAGCACGCGAGTGAGCGCCTCTTGGGGCCTCTTGGTTCTTGGGGCTTCTTGGGGGCCTTTGGGGCCTCTTGGGGGCCTCTCGGGGTCCTCTTGGGGGCCTCTTGGGGACCTCTTGGGGGGCCTCTGGGGGCCCCTTGGGGGCGCCTCGGTGGCATCTTGGGGGCTCTTGGGGTCATCTTGGGGTGGAGGAACAGAAGGGTCCGTTCGGATTCACCCTCTTGAGACCATCTTGGCGGCCTCTCGGGCGAGATCGCCGTTCCTGAGTTGGGGGCCTCTCTGGCCAGGGTGTCTCGGGGTAAGTTGTAGGGAAGTATCGCGCGGGAGCCGTTGGCGTCGTAGCCAGGTCTCCAAGGGCACTTTTATACTGAAGCCAACGCTCGCGCGGGAGCCTCGTTTTCAGAGGCGAGAGTTCGCGGAACCGTTCCGGGATAGCAACAAACACAATTCTCTAGAGTTGAGTATTCAATAATAGCCACAATACAGCAGCAACAACAAACACACATACACACATTCCACAACAACATCACCACCACCAACAACAACAACAGCAACAACAGCAGCAACAACAACAGCAACAATCATCTTACCCTCATGCGCGATGGTTCCACACGAAGCATGCGACCATCATGATAACCATCCCCATCATGGGGGACTATTGTTCTACAGCGAGGTCCGTTCTTCCCATCCGCCCAATGAGGTCTTGCAAAAACCTCAGAGGAATTTCAGCATATCCCGCCTCGAACACGCATGCCCGCGCCTTGCTGCGCCGATGCGAGCCCGCCAGTGGAGCCCCAGCCACGGGTAAAGCACAAGGAAGTATCGAGCGACAGGATTGCCTTGGTGGGGATGGGGGTTGTGGGCAGGGAGGCAAGGACTGGCTCTGAAAAGATAGGGAGGAAGTCTCGAGCAGGGCCGCTGTTGTTGCTGGGAGCGGCGCCAATTCTGAAGAGAGTAGGGCGCTGATCCAGCGTAAAACAAAACGAAGTCTCGAGCGGGAGCGCTGGTTTTGTTGGGACGGCGGCTGTCGGCGGCGAGGAGGAACACCGCCTTGAGTAAGAAGGGATGAAATCTCGTGCGGGAGCCGTGGTTTTGTCGGGACGGGGGCTGTCGGCGGCGAGGAATACCACCGTCCTGAGGAAAAAGGGAGGAAGCCTCGAACGGGAGCGTTGTTCTTGCTGCGAGCGGCGCCAATTCAAAAGAGAACACCCAGCGTAAAACGGGAGAAACTGTCGGACGGGAGCGCTGGTTTTGTCGGGATGGCGCCTATCTGCGGCGAGCAAGAGCGCCGCCTTGAATAAAAAAGGGAGGAAGCCTCGATCGGGAGCGTTGTTGTTGCTGGGGGGCGGCGCCGATGAGAGAAAGAGTCGCGCGCCTGTCCAAGGTAAAATGGGAGGAAGTCTCGAGCGGGAGCGCTGGTTTTGTTGAGACGGCTGCTTTCGGCGGCGAGCAAGAGCACCGGCCCTGAGTAAAAAAGGAGAAAGTCTCGAACGGGAGCGTTGTTGTCGTTGGGGGGCCCGTTTTGGCGGACCCCCAAACCGCTCGAGCTTGAGCCTCGTTTTCAATGAAAATGCAGCCGGCGCTTCGGCGAGAGCGCCAGGGCGCCTTTAAGCGGTCCATCAATAATCATTGTTAGTATTTAATATTCAGCAACACTTACAACACCACCACCAACAACAAATAAACGAATTAGGTGATAAAAAACAGCAACACATACGCATCCGTCACACTCATGGCTTGAATGGGCCCGCAGGGGGCTGTCTGACCAGAGTGTCACTCATTGGTAGCGGCCCTCGTCGGCACTCAGCAGGGCCTGGTAGGGCCTAGCATGGCTTAGCAGATCGCATGCGCATCTCCAGGGCGCACCCGATGCCGTTGGAGGCAGGTTCAACTCTGGCCTGGGCACCCTGGCTTTCCAGGGCCATCGGCCATGGAGGGTGGACAGAGGAGATGCGAGGCGGAAGTGGGGAATCTGGAAGTTCCAACACCACCAGGTGCGGAGTAGATCATTCGTCCTGAGCGTGCCCAGTTCTTGGTCGACGTCCAGCCATTGCTCTGGAGATGTGTTGGCTTGCGCCGCACCGCCGAGCCATTGGGAGCCATGGGTGCCTCTCTTCCAGGGGGCGTTGCCGTTGAAGCGTCTTGTCGCCGATTGTCCATTCTGGAAACCTAACACGTGTTCAAACTTAACCTTGTTGGGTAGACATTCGGGTTCTTTCTGGCCTACAGGGACCCCTGAGGGGTTTCTTTGGGGCCTTTTAGGGCTCTCTTGAGGGCATGTTGGAGGTCTTGGGGCCATCTAGTAGGGGAGGGTTCCCAAGTCCCCTGCGAGTTCCCCCTCGGCTTCTCAGGAGGGTCTCTTGGGCAGTCGTGGGGGCCCGTTGGGCCATCTGGGATCATTCTGACGCCATTTTGGATCGTGTTCTGGGGACCTTTTAGGCCGTTCCGGGGTGATATTTAGAGCCTTGTGGGCTGTCCTAGACACCCTGAAGGTCGCACAGGCGAGAACGTCAAACATGGAGAACCCCCCCAAACAACAATTCAGGTAAGTTTGTATTCCTCTTGGCGCCCTCTTGGGGGTCCTCCTGGGGATCTCTTGGGCCGTCTGGGGAGCTTTGGTGTTGTGTTGAGGCCATCCACGGCCCTTTCTGGGACATTTCTGGACCCTGTTTGTGCCGTTCTGGAGCACTAGTGCGCTGTGGTGAGTTCTTCTTCGCCAATGTTGGTGCGTTTGGGCACTTCTGGGTCAGATGGGTCCGCCTCCAAACCAGCCGATCAGGGCTCCCAGGGGAGGGGTAACGGAAGCATCTCACACGCCGAGGGGAAGCCCAACAAAGGGGTCTGGCGAGTCCCAAAGCGTCCGGTGAGCTCGGAGAGAACCGCGGGCGGAGGGAGACTTCCGAGAGCCGGAGTTGCTGTAGCGTTTGGGGGGGATCCACATCCCCAGGCCCCCGACGTCACGTGTTTTTCATGGCGTCGACCTCCAGAGGCCTGGGCCCCTTCCCCAGGACCAGTTTCCAGGCCTCGGAACAAATTAGCGAACTTTCATGATGCCACATTCATCTGTCAACGGCTCCCCCTCCCCCCAATGTTCAAAGTTGACGGTGGGTCTGATGAGATGCACTTCGACCGCAGTCTCCCCCGCGCGTGCCAACATTGAGGTTGGGGTGGAGGGGGAGTGTTCAGTAATTGTTTGCCTCTACCGTCTCATCCTGAGTCGCTTTTTGACGGTCCTGGGGCCTGGTGAGGGCCTCCAGGGGCCGAAAATAGTGAGAAGCTTCCCGTCGTGATTTCTTCATGACCCGAGGGGGTTTACGTCCTCCCAGAGGGGCTGGAAGATAGCGCCGCTGGGCCTTGTGCCGATTTTTGCTTGAGCGCTTCTGTCGCATCCCGGGGCTGGGCACGCCGCGCACCGCGGGCTGGTCTCGAGTAGTCTCCCCCCTGCCTTCAGGCAGAAGGGCGAGAAGTCATGATAATGTGAAGTCGGGCATGTCCCTCTACAGGAGGAATAGTCAAAACTTATCAAACAATAGTCTGAGGACGATTGTTTAACTTATATATATATATATATATATATATATATATATACATTGTGACTATTGTTGGACATGTTTTTGAGTACTTTCATTTCCCCTCGGAGATCCACCCGTAGGGGGACATGCCCGACCTAATGATAATGAGAAGTTCCCATGTTGTCGAGCATCTGCTTAGGGAGCCTCCTCCCGAGAGGCTGGGCCAGCGTTGCCTGACCCAGCTTGCCGGAAGGCTGGCCCAGCTTGTGGAGCACGCTCGCCTCTCCAGCGTTCACGGCAGAAGATGGCCCAGGTTGCTCTAAGACACCTCCAGGCAGCTGGCCCTGATGTCTGAAATGGTAGTGCTCTTGATCATGTTCTCGGATGTGTGTTCTGAGTGGGAGGAGGAGGAGGAGGAGGAGGAGGAGGAGGAGGACGAGGAGGACGAGGAGGGGGAGGAGGAGGAGGAGGACGAGGAGGACGAGGAGGGGGAGGTGGTGTTCCCTCAGTTCCTCGCGGACGCTCGGCGAGGGCCGCCCGACGCCGACCGTATCCGGAGCCAGCCGTACCACGACGCTGCTCTCGCCCACTGCGGCTCTCCACCTGCCGGCAGGAGAACACCGTCAACAACCTCATCACGCAGCGGGACGAGCTCCTGCGGACGCGCGACTCGCTGGAAGCCAAGGCTCGCCACGAGGGAAGCGGCTCGCCTGGGGGAAACGGGCCCCGAGGTTTCTGTGGACGCCCTCGGGCTCTGGGGCCCTCCACGGGCCTGGGGACTGTCGGGAAACGGCTCTGGACGAAAAACTCGACGTGGGGGAAGGCCCCAGGGTCCCGGGGCCCGTTTCCCTCGGGACCCGTTTCTCGGGCCGGACGAAAGGGGGGGGATTGGGAAAGGGGGGGGGTCCGAAATCTGCTGCATGCAGCTGGTTTCGGCCCCACCGCCGGGCCCATTCCTCGATACATAGCTCCCTCCGGCGCCAGGAGGCGCCGGGAACATCAGCTGCGCGAGCTGATTCTCAAACCCCCCTCTTTGCTATCCCCACCTTTCGCCCGGCCCGAGTTTCCCCCTGCTAGCACGGCTCTGGCGGTAACATGTTCATGCTGGCAGTTTCCGTTCGGGGCACGTGCGTCTGTCCCAGGGCAACCGCAAGTCGCACACCGCTCTGTGGCTTCACACTCTTGAGTATGGCTTCTAGCCGCTTCGAGACAGAAGTTTCACCTGCAGGCTTTTCCATCCCCGCTTCTGGCGCGGGCGACGCAAGGCATCCTTATTCTATTCTGCACTGATGTCCGAGTCCATGCTTAGCAATGGAAATGAGTCGGTTCAGGATCAGCACCCCCTTTGCACAATCAACACCTTTTTGTTGTGGTCATGTGAGCACTCGCTGCGTACCACGGATGAGGACAATACGAATTCGTGGGTACGACAGGTCAGCCTGTATCACAAGAGGTGCACCAGGCAGTAAGGAGGTATGTTCATAAAAGTGTAACCGATTGGCCTTTGGAGTAAGGCGTGGCCCCTGAGACCCATGATTGTTGGGCTTACGCCACACCGCCGACCCCTTGGGGAACTTGCGGTTGTGGTGGGTTGCCCCCGAGAGTCCGGGCTCTTTTGGGGGGGCTTCTTGGTGTCCGTTTGGGCGCTTCATGTGGGCTTATGTCAGGAGAAGAAGAAACACACAGACACGATTCATCCTCGATTCCCCAGAAAATATGGGAACATATGGGAAGTGGGGGGGAAGACAGAAGCCCAGAAACTATGGGACAATATGGGGAATCTTTTTGTTTGTGTGTGTGTATTTATTTGTGTGTGTCCTGGTGCCCCTTCATCATGGGGGGCCTCGTGGAGCTTCGCGGAGGGCGCTCGCGAGTCTCGGGGGGCCGAGGGTTCGCGAAATGCGGGCTTGGGTTCCACGGCTCCCCTCTGGGGGCCCTTCTTGCGGCAGTGGGCCATGCCGGAGGCCTCTGAGGCCGTCGTTTTTCTGTCGCCGTGTGGGGGCTCTCTTTTCTCTGCCTGTTCAGGGGCCCTCTTGGAGGCTTCTGGGGCCGTCTGGGGGGATCTCTGGAGCCTCTTGGGCCGTCCTGGAGCGTCGGGGGCCCGAAAAGGCGAGAACGCGAGAGTCTTTCGACAACGGACTGAACATCAATGAATGTTGGCTCGTGGAGCCCTCTTGGGAGGGCTCTTTGAGGCGTCTTGGGGCGTGTTGGGGGCGTCTTGGGCCGTCTGAAGGCTACTTTGTCGTTCTGGAGGAGCTGTTGGCGACTGGGGGCCCTTTTGGACAGTCTTGGGCGCCTCTTGGGCTTATGGGCCCGTTGTGAGGGCCTCGATCCTCCCATGATGCAGTGGGGCCAGGCCCAGGGGATCCAGGCGGACCCCCCTCCCTCCAAGTCGACCGAACCGGGGTCTGGGAAGGGGGGTCGGGGGAGGGGTAAGCATCTCACACGCTGAGGACACGCCAAGGGGTCGGGGGATGTTGCCGCCACGTGGACATTGGAGCGATGTTTCCTAAGAGGGATGGTGGGCCTGCACGCAGGGGGTAATATGATACCCCCTGCCGCCGTGTAACAGACCAATGCACAGTGAGGGCGGGACGAGCGAAGATGATCCAGGTTATGTCGCAAAGTTGCATTGGTCTTGTAGTTCTTGTGATGACCGTGATGATTGGACGGGCTGTTTTTACTTCGGGTCGGCCGTCGGTCGAGGGGGTGGGGAATGCGGAGCAGGGGTAGGTCACTTTCTTCGAGGGGAGAAGGGGTTTGGACGAAAGGCTCGCCTGACCCACCGAAGCCCAGAGGGCTGGTGGGATGTTGTTTGCGGGCGTAGTTATGTGTAGGCCGCGAGAGTTCCTTCGTCGCAGGAGCTACACTCGTCTAGAAAGTTTGGTCGGGATGGTGCTCAAGAGACGCTTGTCGGGGAGGTGGTTGAAAGGGGGAGTGCCGGCTCGATGCCATCTCGGATAATCGTTGGGCTATTTTTTGCAATTTGGTGTTAGAGAAACAGGAGCGGGGCGCGTTGTACATCGTTGGACTGCGTTGGCGCCTTGTTTGGGCCACTTCGGTGTGAGAGAAACAGGAGCGGGGGAACGGGTGAGAACCCACGTGTCCATTCGGCGGGCATCTGTCAAATATTGTTTTTGAACCGTCGAGTGGGTCTCGGTCTCGGAGCGAGCTGTGGGGCGTGTCGGGGCTCTCTTGGACAATCTGGCGCGCGCTCGCCAAATATGCCCCTGGAGCCCACGGCACTCGCGGCACAGCCCGCATCGGCAGCAATTGCTTTTGCAGCTGACATGTTCAATGTTCGCCGTGCATGCGCAGGGGATCTGGCGAGAAGCCACGTGCACTAACGGCGGGCGTATGTTCAACTTCCAAAAGAAAATGTTCGACTAGCCTTCGGCGCATCCCGCAACCCCGCCTCGGCTGCGGGTCGGAGGCCACGCAGATGGCGGACGGGGTCTCGTGGGAAGCGTCTCGATGGCGTTTGGGTTTTTCGTTTTTGAATGTTTTGGGGGTTTCCTGAGGGCATTTGAAGAGCTTTTTGGGGAGCCTCGCGGAGCTCCCTGGGAGCCTGTTGGGGATTTCTTGGGACAACAGGCCGGCGGTTCGGGGTAGAAGGCTCGAATGTCCATGAGGGTTTCCCCTGTGGACCCCTCTTCGGGCAGTCGCTAGGCCCTCCTGGGCCGTCTTGGGGCGACCCAGGAGGTTTCTTGGGCTGTCTTGGATGTTGCGATCGCAGGGGGGGGCGAAAATGTCAAGCATGCGAGTTTTCCAATGGAAATTGGCCGAGTTTAGCCTCTTTGAGGCTGTCATGGCACGCCTCTGGAGGGCTTCTGGGGGCATCGTGAGGGCCTCGTGGGGCCAGCGTTGGCGTTTTCATTCGATCTACCGTCGGCTCGTGGCCCTCTTGGACCGTCCAGAGGGCTTTCTGGTGCCCTCTTGGCATGTTTGGGGGGGGCCCTTTGTCCCCCCGCTTGAGTTGTTTGAGAGCCCTTCGGGTGGCCTCTCTGGCCGTCTTTGGGGCGACCCAGGGGGCTTCTTGGGATGTCTTGGATGTTGGGATCGCAGGGGAGGCGGATGAGGTAACATGCATGTTGTCCCATGGTAATGGGGGGATTTTTGCTGTTTGAGGATGTCTCGAGACGCCTCTTGAAGGCGTCTTGGGGCGTTTTGGAGGCGTCTTGGGCCGTCTGGAGGCCAGCGTGGGCGTTTTGGATTGATTTTTCGGCGGCCCTTGGCCCTCTTGGTCCGTCCAGATGGCCTCTTGGTGCCGCCTTGGCTTGTTTTGGGGCCCTGTGTCCCCCCCTGGCGCGTTCGGCCGGTCCCCAGAAGACCTCTCCCCCCCCCTCCAAATCGACTGGAGTGGGCTCCCGGGGGCGGGCGTTTGGGGAGGGGGAAACACTTCACACGCGGATGAACCCCAAGGGGTCGGCGGATTGCTGGTTTCCCGAACGTCTCATCGTTTTAAGGGCCAGCCCAAACGAGAACGTGTTCACCGAGGGCATGGGAGAACTGTCCGAGGAACAGCCTTGTGAACCCCAACGTCTGAAGGGAAGCAGGAGGATGCCCCTCAGCTCCGAAGTCTGACCCAGCAGTTCCAGCACGTCTATCGCTCGTCTTCGTTGCATGCAGAGCTGGTCGCCTCATGATGGCATTCGCCCAGCAACCCGCGAGAGGTCGGCGTGGAATCCTGGTTCGGGCTGTTGGGGAGGGCGGCCAGGGATGGAGATGTGCGGAGGGCTTTCGAGGCAAGAACAGAGGATGAGTTGTGTGACTCCGCCTCGTTCTTGCAGGGAGGTCTCGGAGAATGCCTTACAAGACCAGTTTGCGAATGCTGCTGGAGGAGACGTCCTGGGAGCGGTGCCTTGTGCACACGCAGGATCTCAGAATGGCTTTGTTCGAAGAAGAAAAAAAACGCCTTAAACATAAGCTTTTGGCGCTCCGCGCGGATTTCTCGGATCCGCGCTGGGCCTCCCCGGCGGCGCCTCTGGCGCCGCCCCTGGCGTGCTCCGCGCGCCAGGAAGGGGGTCCAGCGCAGGTCCAAGAAATCCGCGCTGAGCGCCAAAAGTTTATGTTTATGGCGTTGTTCCTTCTTCTATTCGTCGGCCGCCAAGACTCAGTCCAGAGCAGCGCGGGCTCTTGGCGAGGACTTGCTGCCGAGCCCTTGCGAGGAGCAGCGAGAGCGGCGCAGTGTCGGGGGGCCTGCCGCAGCGCCGGGCGGGCGGTCGTGCAGGTCGCGAAGATGACCCAGGAGAACATCCAGATGACGGAGATCATGCAGAGGCACGAGTCCGAGAATCTGCAAGGCGCTCAATGCCCATTGTGTCGTTCCCTCCACTGCCAGCTCTTGCACATCCTTCACAGGCGACCGCAAACATGGATCCAGGGGGCGTGGAGCAGCGACGGGCCCCGTTTCCATCCGAAATCGAGCATTTCTGCCGCCGATCGAGGCGGCACCGGCCGCATTTTGGGGAGCCCGACAATCCGCAAGGCGCTCCAGGGTCAGGGCCGAGGGTCAGAGCGCGCCTTCCTCTGCAGGACCACCAAAAAGGGGACGTCAAGGTGGTCAAACGCCTCGCAGGTTAAAGCCGACGAAGGTGTGCAAAATCCAACCGTTCGCTTATGTTCAAAGTTGTGGCTTGACATTGGGTGTGGTGCATCAATTTCAGCTTGACCGAACAGGTTGATTGCGCCCCTTGACGTCCGTTTGGGATATTCTGCAAACCTGACCTCCCAGCCCAACTACAGCGCTCAATGTCCATTGTGTCGTTCCCTTCATTGCCAGCTCTTGCAAATCCTGTAGCTTGTGCAGGGCATGCGCACGGACACTTGCCGTTGACCGTGCTGTCAATATAAAATTATGTTGGTTGGTTAGTACTGGCAATTGCAGTGCCTTGCCAGATATGCATCTTTTTTTTCTGAGCGCGGGGGCATGAGAGTGCGATGAAGATCATTGTCGTTGATCATCTACTCAGGCTCACATACTGTATTAACATTGTTTTGCAGATATGTTTGTCTGACGTTAGATGTGCACGGGATTTCTGAACATGCATGTTCAAGCGAGGCCGTGCAGATTCGCCACTGCTCTTTCAGGAGCTGCGTGGGAACTTTGTGATGCGGCACGCGGCGGTGGCATTGCATGGTTGTCGCGATACATCTTCGGGGCCTCTTGGGGGCGCTCTGAGGGCCGTTGGGGTGCTGGGGCGTCTTGAGGGGCAGTTTTGGGCCTGTCGACGGGTCGTCCTTGGTTGGTCTTCGGCAATTGCGCCAGTGGTGCTTCTCCCTGTCAAGGCACTCCCCTTCCCCCCTCCTTCCAAAGGGGGGTCCAGTCCGCCTCCCCCCTGCCGCCGACAAGGGGGGGGGGGAGTCGTCAAACCCTCCCCCCCTCCTTTCCCTCCTTTGGCAGCGGAGGGGGCGGGACTAGGGGCTGGGTGCATGGGAAGGGGTGTCAAAAGGTTTCGTGGACTAGAGCGATTGCACCGAATGGACGAAAAATCCCGGGAGGCTCGTCCAAGGGGGGTTGTCCGCGGTGGTTGTCCGGATCTCCGCTGGGTTGTCCAAGGGGTTTTCCGAGTGGGTCGTGGTGTCGTCATTAATCAGCATGGGTTGTCCGGGTTGTTTGGGAGGGGTGTCCGAGGATTTGTTTTGATTGGAATATGTTCCCATTGAATTTAGTACGGCGTTAAGGTCAGGGTTGTTGAGGGTTTTGGTTTAGACTTCATGTTCGTGCTTAGGGTCAGAGTCAGGGTGATAGGGTCAGATCGTCATGGCCTATTGCTTAGAATTAGAACTAAAGTTTGGGAGTCAGAGTTTGAATGCCTGGGTGCAGGGTGTTTGAGTTTAGATAGGGTCATGGGATCGGGCTTGGGTGGTAAGGAATAGGGTTCGGAAATATGGTCAGGGTATCTGGTGAGTGCTTTGGGGACGGATCGTACCCGAAGCGTCCCCTCCCAGCAAAGGGGGGATGGAGGTTACGACCCCGACCCACCCCTGGCGCAAGGCGGGTGGTGTGGGGTCGCGAACCCGGTGTCGAAGACTCCTGGTTTGGATTTGTTCGAGGCAAGCGACTTTGAAGCGCGCTCTCTCAGTTTTATGGTCCTTGAGTTGGGTTCAGTGCTTAGGATGAGGGTTCGGTTGTAAGTGTTACGTACGTGTGTGAGGTTTTAGTGTGCTAGGACTTCAGGGTGTTAGGATTTTGGTACTCCAGGGATGCGGGATCACATGGGGAAGGGGGTGTTTCACCTCCCCGCCCAAATTTGGGGATGGGGAGGGATCCAACCTCGTGCCCGACGGAGGAGGGGTGGTCCTGGACGACGGATCAGGAAGGGCGGGAGGAAGGGCGGGGGGGATGGACCGGGCAAAGGGTAAATTGGAGCAGAGTCCACCCCCCCCCGTCCTAAGGCCAACCAAAGGCGATATGGAATCACATAGGGCAAGAAGGCAAACATGTGCGATAACTGACGGTGTCCGTTAGGATTTGTTCGAGGTATCCGGCCGTTTTGGATGTAGCGGCGATTTTGCACAAGGTTCCAGCGTCAGTCTTCAGGGGTACGTTAGGTTCGTGTCGTGTCCACGCGGCGGCGACCCCAGCGCGGGCTTTCACGGTTGAACCTCGCCAGTGGTTTGGAGTCGACCGACGCCGAACGATTTGCGCAATCGGAAAGTCATCCCATTTGAGGTTCGCATTCAAGCCGTCCCTTGCTGAGATGAAGGTGCGCCACGGCGACGCGGCTTCGAAGCTGTTCAAGTTTCATTGTCCTTGATTAGGTATTGGTAGAGTCTGTCTCATGTCTGAATGAGAAGGCAAGTTGATGGTATGACGGGATCTCCGTCAGATTGTGTGTGAACCAAACGGTTTAGGAGATGTCTTGTGACTCTGAATGACGGCAGCGTATCTACATCACCATGGCCTTTCTTTCCAATTGTATACACAGCGACTTCGGCGGCAAGGTTTGGTATTACCACAGCAGCAGTGGCAG